ATGTGCATTCTAACCTTTCTGACCTTTTATCAAGCATACAAAGATGATGAAAATCTAATAAAGGGCCAGACGCAGGCCTGCTGATAGAAAAGAAAAAGGACGGTCAGATGCATGACTTTATCAGACAAGTGTGAATAAACTTCTCAACTCTAAAGGTCAGCATGAAAAGATAAAAGTGGGTCATCAGTTATTTCCAGACATATCAAGAGAAAGCCCTAAAACAATCAGCTCTAATCAGTGAATTGATGACCCTGGCTCGCTGTCAAAGTGTGTTAACTTGTACACTGTGTTCAATACGGCCATAACCGGAACTGTGTCAAGAAGTAGTCGGAGACGTGTAAAAACCACAAAATATAATGACAGCCTCATAAATCTCATGATAAAATGTTTTTCCCTTAAATCATTAAATCTATAGTTACCAGAACATGTAGCCTTCAGCAGCTTCTCCACATGATTCCAACTTTACAGATGATGCTCATTAATAAAACATAGTATGTATAGAATATGTGGCCTGTGGGTGTCAACTTGAATTCAATATCCAGAGTATACGGTATTTTGATGTATTTATAGGTGAGCTATATTCAGAAGCAGTATATTTATTACTTGTAACAATATACATTTGTAGCCTCTGAGCCTGTAAAGATGATTCATATTCTGTGCAAATTGAAAAAAAAAAGATTATACATATTTTACTCCTCATGAATCGGGTATAATGTACACATCCTCTTCTTGGGACATGTCACAGATGACGAGGTTGCACTTGGGGTCGTTGCTGTATATCGCATTATCTGGTGAATCACACTGCAAATACAAGTCCTCTTCCGGTTCCCCAGGCGACCTGCGGAGGAACAATACGTGTAACTGATAATGTTCCCATCAGGAAACCCGTTTCTGATGTACAAAAGCAATTATGACATCAAGCCAAATACGTGTCAGTTACTTTCTCCTAGTTTCTATTCTTGCTCAGAAGACAAACTGCAGCACTGAGTCATGAACTGGCACGTTTGATTAATAGACTTTGAATGGCAGGAGAACAACAGCAGAAAGGACCTGCAGATTTCAGATGCCGAACTGTGTGCATGCATTACAACAGGGGTTGTGCAAAATGGGGAAATTTGCATCAAACTGTTTCCTCGTCTGTTTCTTTCACAAGTGACATTTCAGACTCATCATTTCCTCCATATTTTGTCTAATAAGAAATGAATGTCCAGCCTACCTGCTGTGGTGTGCTGCAGGCCTATTGTAGCCATGCGTTTGCGTTGACAGGTTTTCATAGATTGGGCTCTGTGCGGTTGGTTGTTCTCTGATCAGATTGCTGTAGTGCTGGGAGTCATCTTCCTTCGCCTCTAGATAGTCCATCTTCTTCTGGTTGTCTCTTCCTCCTCTTCGTCCAGATTGCACCATATTCCTGATTTTACTCTGGAACTTGTACGCGATCAAACCGGCGGCAAGCACAATGAGCAGAGAGAAGAGCGTCAGCCCCACAGCCAGACCTACGGAGCTGGAGAGTGGCTGTGCTGTGTCTTTGCCATCTCCAGTAACCAAAGTCTGCAGGGTGCTATTGATCATTATCTGCAAATTTAAGAAAGAAACTGTGTGATGTTAACATCCTGTTCCTCAAATTACTGTATATTTCTATCTGTAACAATTAACATTTCATGATTATTAATCCAAAATATATATACAGTAAATAACAAGAACATAAAATATATGTTCTTGTTAAAAATAAGGCATCCAAAATGTAAAATAATATCATGATTCGGGCATTATTACATTAGAAAAGAAAAACATTTTGAAATGTATTTAATTAAAAAACTTAATTGTACAATCTCAATACATTCCAGTAAATGCTATCAAAAACAATCATGTAAGCCAAGTCAAACAAAGAAGTGTGGCTCACTGAAAAACTTACCGAACAAGACGGGGACGTTGTGGGTCAAGGTCTGAAGTGAGAGTCATGCAGTTTCTCTTCAGCAACTCACATTTGCAAAGTTCCCCTTTATTGAAATAATGGAGGAGGGAAATGAAAGAGCTGAAAAAAGAAAGATTTCCTGTACATGTTCCTTCTGAAAAAAGACTCAAATTTGTCCTGTTGTACAAACCTTTATGACTCAACCAACAAATTTCCAGTCTGAGCAAGGAATAAGCCATAAGTTTAGATGTTGGAACATTGGTTCTGATGAAATAGTGGATTCTGAAGAAAATGTAATATTAATAACGTAGTATTTTTGAATTTCTCTGGTTAAAAAGTATAAAATTGTCCCAAGAAGAGACAATTACATGAATATATCCTCATGTTTGTCTTGTTGGCGACACCGTTTTACCAGACCTTTACCTCCCCCTGCAGTCAGTTTCACTTCCCATATTCAGAATACACCCGGCTGTTATGTTTCATTAACTTTACACTGTACACCCCTGTGCATGTGGTTGTATCAGGGATTTGAACCATCACTATTACTGCTGGATAACAAAGCCCCCACATGTAAAGGTGTCTGCATCTCACACTGCTCACATATACACATGCAGGCGCCCATCACTGAGTCCATCACCAAATACATGGAACTCAGTGATCCTTCATCCTACTCTGTACAGATGTCTGAATGTTTTAAATATTAATTTATTACTGTTAAAGGTTTTATTTTTTATGACTTTTTCAAACATAATTTCCTTGCTTCTCTTTTGAAAGAACAACAGCAACACAACACAAAAGAGATACAACAGCAAATAAAAAAGTGGGCAGTTCAAAGTTAAAAGTCACCAGCAGATCCACGTACCATAAATCTAAGTTTCTTGAGTTTAAGCTGCATCACCTCTCTCAGCCACTGAATTCAGCTGAGAGCGTGAGGAGATCTCCACTGAAGGAGAATCCATGTCCGTGCTGACAAAGTGACAAATCGCATTATCCTGGCTTTAGATCAGACAGATTATTATCGTTCCCACCCACAGCAACAAAAATGTTGGGTTATTACTTTCGATTTTAATCTGTTTGGGGATGTTTTTACTCGACTGACAAACGAGCTGCAGCAGGGGACAGATCTTGGCGGTCAAATATTCAAAGGCCCAAGTGGAGAAGGGTTCCACATGAGCTGCAGTTAAACGTTGCTTTTCTGTATTTATTTAATCAGAATGGAATTTATATATTGCTCATATTATATGCCTATATGCTTTTTTGGCAGCATGGTGGTGTGATGGTTGGTCACCTCAGGGTCTTTCTGTGTGGAGTTTGCATGTTCTGGGGTTAAGTTAAATGGAGACACTAAAACGTGTGAATGGCAATTGTTGTCTTTCTCTGTATGTTGATCCTGGGCAGGGATTGGCTTCTGCAGCTCCCCGCCACAACCCTCAAAGGTGAAGCTATAGTAGGATGGATGGGTAGTGGAGTTTTTCCTAATGTTTTGCTTTGGAACAGACTGTTGTTGGAGAGACACAAGTGTTGCGATGTTCAAGAGCAGAGCAAATATCTTGATTTTTTGAATAAATAAAATGTAAGTCAAAATAAAGCAACTTCCATCTATGTGGAAATGACAATATTATTGCTTCCTAGAGCAGCCCGCATGCATCCATTCACTGTATGATACTAATGATATTGCGGTACGCCACAGTGGCTTCATCTTATGGTTTGTGGTGCAAAAACACAGGGGAGACATTTAGAGTTTCAAGTTTGACTGCTGCACTGAAGTGCAAGCTGCCGCTACTTGTTTTACTGGTAATATTTCTGCAGGGTTTTTTCTTTGAGATAAACAATAAATCTATCCTGAGACACAAACACAGCTGGATACAGAAAACATGCACCACAACATGTGCTTTTCCTTACTGTATCAGAACCAACCTCAGTGACCCCTCCACCATCCCCCCATCTCTCGGGAGCCTTGTTAAGCAATAACAGAATAATCCCTCTCTCCACCTGCCCTGGAGTCGCCTCTTCTTCTTCTGTCACCATGGTTACGTGACAACCAAATTACACCTTCCTGACAGGCAGGTAAAACAGCTCCACTGGGCCTTGAGTGTCTGTGACAGCAATAATAGGAAACATTAAATGAAGGTGTGGCATTGGATGTTTTGTTTAGTAGGAATCTCAATGCGTCATTGTAAATAATAACTCACTGGCCTGTTGGGGTTGTGCATGCAGCTGCTCTGTGTGAAAATAAAAACTCCCACTGCAGTAGGGAAACAAGAGCGGACACGCAGAGATCCTTTCCTCTTGATTGTGATGCATTTATCACATAATGCTACCGGAGGAGAGGGCTTAACATTTTATCGTGATGGAAATGGCACCTCCTCCTCCTCTTTCAGCTAAAGAGCTGATCTGTCTCCACATGAGTAAATCTCTCACAGGGCAGTGCGCTCCATTCACCTTGTGTGCGCGTTCAGCTGGAAAGCAGAGGGAGACAGTGTTGTGACTGTGTTTATCCTCAGTCAGCAGGGGTGCACATGCACAGGCCGGGAGGGGGGAGGCACAGACCCAGATTTCATGTCATGAACATTTAGGCCATGTCACACCAGGAGGATGGTTTATATTCCACTGATAAAAAGGCCAGTGAAGTGAATTCAAGCTCATCCTCCTGTGAAAATCACATTCACATTGTCATGTGGTGGAGCATCACCTCCAGGCCTAGAAAGTCTAGTGTGAAATAATAACAACAGCAGCAGCAACAACAACCACGACGATAATAGATATAATAATAACTATAGTAATCATTTCCCAGATGTGCAGTGCCCCCTCAACACCCCCATGCAGCGACGTGAGAACGCAGAGCCTTACTGAGGAGGCTGCATCAAGATAAACATAGACAACACAAAACACACCGGAAACAAAACAATGGGATTTCAAAATAAAAGCTTACAGCTTTCCCAGTTGTAGTAGTTTAGTTTGACAAGCAGGAGCAAAGCCACTGGAAACGCGTCGAGTTGTTAAAGTTGTTGACCAATCAACAGACAACTAGTTACATTGATGATATAAGCGATTTTAAGATCATTTTGGTCTGTGATTCCTTGTAAAAGGCATTTGTCAATGCTTTGACACTCAGTGTTTCTTTTTAGTTCATGTATTTAAAAATCAGTTGGATCATATCAGTATTATAGTATAATATATTACAACTTCATTCTTGTTACACTAAAACTTTATTCTTGTTATATTATAACGTTATTCTTGTTATGTTACAACGTTATTGTTGTTATAGTACGACTTTATTCGAGTTATATTACAACTTTATTCTTGTTTTACTTCGACTTTATTCAAGTTTTTTTTCTAGTCAAATTATACTCATACTCAAGCTCATAATATTTCAACTTTATTCTTGTAAAATGATATGTTTTTTTCCCGGCACGACCTTATTAAGGAAATCGCATAATTGTCCCATAATTGACCCTAATATTCTATCGTAATTTCCGTATTTATTTATTTGTTTGTTTGTCTATTTATTTATACTTCGCCAGTCATTTCTTCGTCCTTCATTTCCCTGGCGATCACTGAACTCTTCCACAATTTGAAATGTTCACCTCACTCTCTCGCTCTGATGCGTCAACGTCTCTAACCCAGTGTCTCTAACCGGAAGTGGTGTCTCTGTTACCTCCGGTAACTTGACGCTGACCACTGACGGCGAAGCGGAGCAGGAGAGCGAAACATGGCGACTTCGAACAATCCGCGGAAATTCAGCGAGAAAATCGCGTTACACAACCAGAAGCAGGCGGAGGAGACGGCGGCGTTCGAAGAAGTGATGAAGGACATGAGCATCACGCGGGCGGCGAGGGTAAAGACAGCGCTTCGTGTCTGTGTTTGTGTGCGCGCGTGTGCGTGTGGGGGTGTGTGCGTGTGTGTGTGTGTGTTAGTGTGTGTGCATGTGTGGGGGGGGGGGCATCTCCGAGTGTTTTCAGCGAACTGTCAAATATGCGTCAGTGTCGCGGCTCCACGCAGTCAGAGCTGAGGAGGTAAACAATAACAAACGACGCTTCCCGCCACCTCCAACACACACACACACACACACGCACACACACACACACACACACACACACTAACACGCAGTGACATCGATGTAAACATGGACGATCTGAACCTAAAACAAAGTTCCTACATTTGTATTGTCTTGTCCCACGCATGAAAGCGAAGGGGCGTGCACGCGGATTTGACAGCGCGCGACCAACTGCAGCCTGGTCTCGTGCTCAGAGAAGAGAGGCGGACATCACCCACTGAAACACACACACACACACACGTATTATTCTCTATATGCTCCATCATTGTTATTATAACATGTTACATTTAGTGTACAGGCCGGTGTGTGTTGAAGGCGGTGATGAGCAGAGTGGATCTGTAAAGTTGTCTGACTGCTCTGGGTGCACAGTGCACCGCAGCGTGATTGCCATCTACACCAAAGATGAAGGCCAACAGATTATGTGGATTTTAAGCCACATACAGAACAGGCGTCCAAAATAAATCCTATGGAGGCAGCTGGGCTCTGTACTGACTGATTCTGCAGCTGCATGTGAGGAGAGACATGTTGGACCCATGCTCTGATGACCTATACTGCAATAATTATTATACGTATACAGCAATAACTATTATACCTACACTGCAATCATCATTATAAGTATACACCAATAACTATTATAACTATACTGCAATCATCATTATAACTATACTGCAATAACTGTTATAAATCTACTGCAATAGCTTGTATAGTTTTACCGCAATAACTATTAGAACTATACTGCAATAGCTATTATAACTGTACTGCAATAACTATTATTACTACATAGCAATAACTGAATATTCTTAACTCAATATATTGAGTGGAAGAGAAATGTGCATGTGTGAAATCTGTATATATCTCTGCTGCGTGTGATATCCAGCTGCCTCAGGACTAGTTTTTAAAAAAACTGCAAAGTTAATCCATCCAAAGGCAACAACTCTTAACGTATTTGGTTCCAACAGAAGATATTTTCATATGTCCCAGTTGTAAAAGCCTCGGTGCATGCTGGCTCACTGCCATAACTTATTTGGGACACGTGAACAGAATGGGGCACTCATTAATAATATTAGTACCACGTCTGCTTTTCTGCTGTAACAGGTCAAAATGTCTGCCGGGAAAAAGGCCTTTTTATGAAGCGTTAGCAGATGTTGCGATATAAGACCACAGTGACAAATTAGAATGGAACTCAGAGAGTTCAAACCTTTGCCAAAACAGTCCCCTTATGAAACATATTTAAATTCAAATTGCACACACCCATAAATACTAGTACCTAAAACATGCCAGATTTAAAAAAAAACAGATCCATGAATTATTTTTTGAGAAATCACTGAGAATGTTGCAAAACGTCCTATCTCACAATGTTTAAGAAAGTGAAAAAAATGGCCCTGATCTGAATCTACTGGAAATATAATAATTTCTCTCCTGACGCATACTACACTCCTCCACCAAGTTTCGTGGAAATCCATCCACTAGACGTTGAGTAATCCTGCTTATTAACAAACAAACAAACACAGACGAAAACATAACGTCCTTGACGGTGGAAATAAAACTGTATAATTGTAAGTTATATTTTTTTATTGCCATGTTATCTTGCATTTGTATTTTAGGAAGCATGTCTAAAGATTGAGTTTGTTCTTGACTGAAGGCTTCAGTTATACATGATTTTCATTATTAAAAGACAAATGGTGGCATGGTGGAACATTGGTTAACACTCACAGTAATACGTTTCTGGTTTGAATCCCAGTTTGGTCCTTATGTAAGGAGTTTGAATGTTCTCCTGTATTCTTGTGGGTTTTCTCTGGGTTCTTTTCTTCCTCCCACAATCCAAAAACATGCAGAAGGGGGTTAGGTTAATAGGAGAGTGTGAGTGCAGGTTGTTTGCCTCTGTATGTCGGCCCTGGCCCTCACTGGGGACCTGTCCAGGGTGAACCTCACCTCCCGCCCAATGTCAGGTGGGATTGGCTCCCTCCTGTGACCCTCAAAGAATAGAGGGTGTAGATGATGGATGGGTGGAACAGACATAATAGTACATGAAGCTCACATCTGAGCCAAAGTTAGATTCATGAAACCTCGGGTCTAGAGTTTCCCTCGGTCCACTCCTTCTCTCCTTCAGCTCTCCTCTCTCTGTACCTGTCTCACTGTTTAAAAAGATTAGCACCGACTTACCTCTTGATCAGAGGAGGTCACAATATGCAACCTTTTGTCAACAGGGCGGGTTTACATGTGTTTTAAACCAACACACACTCTGATGTCTGAGGCTTATTTAAAATACACCAGTGATACAGGCAAAGTAATTGTTATTATTAGATTCTGTGCCCTGCCACCAGTGAGCAGTGGGCTTGAATGAGAAAATTTAATAGACGATTTCGATTGGGAAATGGAACTGGACATTGTTTGGAAAATAAGCACTGTCATACAGGCTTTAGGGAGTTTGCTTTTTAGTAATTCATACCATGTGCAACTTCTCTTCACATGTTATTGAATGCACAAAGTGTTGCTGCGATGACTGCTGCAAATTCTGCATCAATATTTGCTGGATCGAATTCATTTTTCTTTCTTAGTTAGATTAATGTGTTGTTCCTCTCATTTAATGATACCTCAGCAAATGTCTATCAATATGTTGTCATGTCTCAAACAGATGGTTAATAAAGATGATCGATTGATCAATATGGTGGTTTCAGGGAAGCCGGCACAATTATAAGACTTTAATGGGTTTTGGGTTGGAGCAGTGTATGGGTGCAATTATGTCTCCTTTGTAGTATTTTTCTTGAATGTCCCTGCAGGAAACACATTGAGCTGTCATGATTAATACTATAAATGACTACATCTTCTAGCTTCTTGTTCATGTCACTGGAGAATAAAGTTGTAATTTCATGTTTCATACCTGCTGTTGGTGTGTTTCCAGTTGCAGCTGCAGAAGACTCAGTACCTGCAGCTGGGACAGAACCGTGGGCAGTACTATGGAGGGTCTTTGCCAAACGTCAATCAGATTGGAAACGGCACCGTTGATGTGTCTTTTCAGGTAAGATTCAAGACTTATCTTTTTTCTGTAGAATTTCATCTCAGTACATTTAACAGCTGAGGTGTTGGATCAATGAAAAATAATAGATTTGTCTATAATGTTGGAAAGATTTGGTTTGTGTTGGTTAGTGTCTGTTTAACTCAAGTGCATATTGGATTTGAGGGGGCCACAATTTACACCGAGGGGCCGATTGTATGTCCAACATCTATTCATAAGGTGCACATTTAAGTCATTCATTGTTTATTGTTACATCTGTAGCTTTGGGCATAGACACACCTCACTTAATATATTTAGAAAATTGTTTCTTGTTCAAACATTGTGTTCTACTAAATTGTCACAAATTGATCTGAAAGGCCTTTGCTTTATTACTGTAAAAGATATATACGATACTTTCGGGACAGAAATACAGAAGCTGAATCTCAAACAAAAAACCAAATTCTCAACATAATCCCAATCGAGGAACTAAATTAAATTTCTCTACATACAGAGTATGGTGAGATTTAATACTTCTGTTATCCTGTGAAACAGCTCCAGTATGATTCCTTTGCAAATATAAAAAGAAAACCTGTGTGAACAGAACAAAATGGGCCCATTTCCAAAACCTTTTCATTTTCATTTTTAATTTCACAGGCATTTTCCTGTTCTCTGTAGTTCTTCTTGCCTTGAGTCGTATTAGCTTTCATCACTGCTCCACAAGCATCTCTATTGATGTGAGGGCTCAGAACACAGTTTAATTCTCTTTGAGTCAAGGACAGTCAGTGTAACTGGGGACACAGAAAACAGTCGAGCTAGTGCAATACTTCTCTAGTTTAAATTAAAGTCAGACTTTACCAAAGGATTTAATTTTGTTTGCATTTCATTATTCAAAATATAGTCCGAACTGACCCTCAAACAAAAGTGGCGGCTTGAAATTATAGGTAATATTTACAATTTGTTCAGTTAAATCAAATTTTTTTTGTCTTTGTTCGTCAGAATTCAGAGCTGGACATGAACAGATCGACACGACACCACGGGTTGGTGGACAGAGTCTACCGGGACCGGAACCGCATTGCATCCCCGCATCAAAAACCACTGTCAGTGGACAAACATGGGCGCCAGATATCCTTTAATGCTGTTTCTCATTTGGAGACTGAGGTTGAACACTGTTGGTAAAATCCTGTTTCTTCTCATATCTCATCATTTGCTATCTGAGCTCTCAATCTAATTTAAAAGCCTGTCGTTTTGGGGAATCAATCAAATATCAAGTATAATAACAGATATTGTCACAATTAAATTACTTTGATATTACTGTGATGAATAATAGCCTAATAAAAATATAACACATTAATAGGAAAACATGGCAAACATTGTCCTTGACATTGGAATATTAGCAGTGGTTCTGATCATCATTAATCACAGAGAACGTCAGTCAGCACAATATTTTGTATATCATGTATTTATCATGTAAGATAGTTCATAAGGAAAAATACAGCCTCCATAAATCATCAGTTAACAGCTTGTTAAAAATGACAAATCCTCAGTCTGTGGATTAGTTATCTGACATTTAGATTAACGGATGTTTAAAAATCGCTCAACTAGTTTTGTTTTTGCTTGTTGTTGAATTTAGGTCAAACTAGAATGGCAGTCAGCAGGCCCAACGGTCCGATTATGAGACTAAAGATCCGGAATTACACCAGATTGCACATACTCATAAATATCAGCCCCCTCAATGTGCCAGATTTTATTTTTAACCAAAATCCATTAATTACCTGTGGGAAATTGGTGAAAATGTTGAAAAACATCCTATAGAATCCAGTCGGTATTTCAAATGAAGCCCTGACAAATATCAGAACCTGATTTGAAGCTCAAAGTTTGTTCTTTCTTTCCATAAATCACATGCTGGTTTGGTTTTCTCTTTTTTTTTAAATCTATCTTCTCATGTTCAAATAATCCACAGGAATCAAAGCATTGAATCTGCCAAGACTCTCTGAATCAAGCTTTATTTTCTTAACCTGAGATCTCACATTGACAGCTGTCCCTATGGCTCAGTGTATCTGTCACCACCACTGGATACCAGCTGGAGGAGGTGAGACGACCTGAAAAGAGGAAACATTGTCTCAGTATGAGTGTACAGCTTAGCGTTTCTGTTTTTAGAATGACAATCATAAATCCTCACACTTCAATGCAACATTTCATGAAAAGGCGGGAACAAGGCACATTCAAAGTAAAGCTTGGAACTCACAGCAAGACTCTCTTGCTATTTTCATTATTCTGTCTGCTTTCATACATATGCACAGTATTCAGACTTGTCTTGTATTTTACTTCGCGTTGATTTGTGTGACCTCTTGTGCCGCAGGACAAACTCGGACTCAGCGCTGCACCAGAGCACACTTACCCCCGCCCAGCAGGCCTCTTTCACTGGAGGATCACAGGAGCTCCAGCCAAAACGAGGTACGTGTTATCTGAAAAGTTTTAATAATAAAGACACCAGGCATAAGGAAAAAGTCATTGAGCAAAACAAAAGACAAAAAAATAAAAAAGATAAGATAAAGTGAAAATAAGCTGCTACGACATATAGAGTTAATACATTAACCAAGTTAATGTGTATTGTAGACCGTTTTTTGTAAACCTGATTATTTTTTGTGGCATTTTAGATTGTTGAGCGGAACTACTGCAAACATGCAGCGGATCCAAGTGTTGGATGAAGTTTTCTGCTAATTAGCTGCGTGAGCCAGATATTGAAGTTGCAGAAGCATTTTTGTTGACTTTGTATAAATCTCCTTGGACACATTGAGAGTTTTACATATTATTGTTATTCAGTAATTTTATGTTTTTTGGACTTTTGCCTTTGTTTGAACGAGAGACGGGAAATGTTTGTAGAGAATAAAGACATGCAGTAAATGTTCCAGCTGGTCAGGAGTTGAACATAGACCTGCTGCTCAAGGCTTATATACACCCATGTGGTACACACCCTACGTTTCAGCTATGGGGTTGCTCAGTTTAAAACATTTTTTTTCTAATGTCTCACTTTTTGTTCTTTCCACGCTTCCTATTTTTCTGATATCGTCTTTAAATATGGTTTGACTACATTGAAAAAGGGCATATGGGCTGTGATCAAACAGGCTGGACATCTGTTGACCCAAGAGACTGAGGAGATTTGTTTTCCTCTCTCTCTGCAGTTCTGCTGCTCACTGTGCCCGGCTCAGAAGCAGTTAAACTAGAGGTCGATGAAGACGGACAAAAACAGGAGTGGGACTGTAAAAAGGTGAAAACCCTGCACACAAATTAATGTTTTTCTGTCAGCTTTATCTCCACGATTTTCAATAGCTACAATTATTCTCTCCGTTTAGAACATTTCAAGGTCCAAGCTGTGCAAAGTTCCTGGAATCCAGTAAGTATTTTACTGTTTTCCTCATCTGACCTATTCTAAGGACACATTTATATAAAGTCAGATTAACATAATGAATTGATGTTTTGGCTGCACTGTTATAAAATGGCGGTGAAGAGCACACAAGCAGCAGTGGCTTCAAATCAAGTGCATACTTACAAACATCTGGAGAACATGCATGAATAAAAGATCTGACTGTAATTAGACATCATTTCATTTCCCTCTTATTTACATTTGGCAACCACAGTAATAAGAGTGTAGAACAGATGCATTAGCTGAAGTACCACTGGCCAAATGCATGAAGTCTCGATATCTCTGGAGGTTGTTGTTCTAGGAAAACATTTTCAGTGTCCAAGTATTAATCAGAGCTCAACTGATATGGAGTTTTGGGGGCTGATGCAAATACCAATATTTGCAAGTAAAAATGTCTATCTATCTATCCATCTATCTATCTATCTATCTATCTATCTATCTATCTATTTATCTATATAGAAATAGACAGAATATAATTGGCAATAATTCCTAAATTGTATTTATCAAAGCCTAATAACAAATAAATGGAATTTAGGCTAATATTTCACAGTTTAATGACACATTTTTCTATCTCCAATAAAGTACAAATACAACCATCTACATGACGACTAATAATTCTGAAAAATAAAAGCTTTTATACTGACAAACGTTCAATGTTGATACAGATGTGTCACCTCTCCAGCGTCGCAGCTCCAAACCGATAGCACACTAAGCTTAGCCTCGACTCATTGATGGTAATAGTAAAACACTCCCTACCAATTCTGAAGTAGAGAATGGACACTTAATTGCAAAACTACAGGGAACATACAGGCTTGCTGTTCACAGTGGCCACAAAACAGGTTAATAACATGGATGGAGGTGGTGGGAATAAACATAACTTACAACACACTGCATCATCTACATCTCCTCACACACACACACACATAATACCCACAAGGCCACCTTCTTAAAATGCCAGGTTGGAGTGATTTTTATCAGCCAACTAATAAATCAGTCGGGCTCTGTTTCTGTTCTTTAATTTCCTCAATCAGAAGATTTTTCAGGTTAAGATCGTCATCCCTGACAAGTTGCCTACATCCATCTTTTTTCTGCAGCATATTCCCATCTCCCGACCAGCAGCTGACCACCACGCTCAAACCAGCAGCCCACAACACTGGCGGTTCTCTGCCTGACTTGACCAACATCCAGTTCCCTCCTCCGCTGCCCACCCCGCTTGACTTGGATGATACAGCCACCGCCTCCTCGTTCAGCCCCTCCAACAGCACACAGACCCTGTCTAACACACAAGGTACCACAGACAATTTGAGATTCCTGTAATTATGCAGTGATTTCAGACTTGACACTGTGTGTGCTTTTAACAAAATGATTTCCTTCCATATTCTGTCTTTGTGTGGTGGGTAGGCGTGGACACCTCTCAGCGAGTAACCATGGAGATGCAGCTTGGACAGGACAACATGGTTCCTCTCATCCTGAACGTAGGAGACTCCCACCAGCAGCAGAACCTCCCGCTCTCCCCAACATCTCCACCTCACTCTCTCTCTCAGGTACAGACCTACTCTCTGGCCTCAAGTAAGCTTAACATCGATTGTGTTTGGTTTAATTCACTATGAAGTATTCTCATTGGTTCGGATTGTTATTTTCTCGTCGTGTTTGTGGTGTTTCAATATCTTGGTGGAAAATTGATTTTATTGCGTTGGTGTTATATGAGTATGAATAGGTTAATCAATTCTGAAGTCAATTCATTTCCCATGAAATATTGGAGCTTCATCTAATTTCCTGTTCCTGTACCCCCCCAGGCAGCCATCAACGCGATGAACCTCGAGCAGCAGCTGTCCCAGTATGCCTTCTTCAACCAGCAGCTGTTGTCCCAGACTCACCAGAGCCAGCAAGTTAGTTTCCCTTTCACCTGGACTCGAGAATGACCTGAGTAAAATTTGGTGGTCAAACGTCAAGGTCACTGTGACCACACATGTTCAGTCACTATGCATCCACAGATATGGTAGCACAATGGTGATTGGACCTGTGGCCTGCTGATGAAAGCATTACAATATTTATTAATATGCAGCTTTACAAATTGGGCGTCTGTGGTGAGAAAAATGCTGCATTGAATACCTGCGAATGCAAAAACGGAATTTTCATTCTGCTGCAGCTTCACATGTAAAGACAAAAGATCACTTTTATTGTGAAGTAGTCACAGGAAATGCAATGCTTTTGTCAGTGGGCTTATCTTTTATTATAGTTAATAAAAATTGCCTCAAAGTAGGCAGCTGATTAAACCCCCATTAGATATGGTAGCTCTGGCTGTGAGTCTTCTGGAGCTTACAGCAATCATTTTTGATCCCCCCCCACATTAAATCTAAACATGACTGGATAATTTACCTGTTATTTCTTAATCAAACACATAGGCTTCAGACCATCTGTTGTCTCTGCCTTTTGATAAGAAAAATCTCATTGGATAAATGTTTGTGGTTTTAGGAATATAACCCTTACATGTCTGAGACAAACCAGATTGAAGACGAGGCTAAAGGTAGAATTAGATGCTGTTTTGTTTCCCCACTGGTCAGATAGTGATGTACTGTATTTGTGATAAACCAGTATTATAACTATAAAGTGGCCCTTGATCACTATACTTATCATCTGTGTCTACTCACTCTTTATTTTCCAGCAGACAGGTCTGGTCCAGCTGCCATCCTCGGTGAACTCCTGCTCCACGTTAGACAACCACACGTCCTCGCAGAGCAACATGACCATGGACATGAACACGGTGAGCGGTGCACGCGTCTGTCCGCATCAGACGTGGTTTCTTGACAGAAGCGACTGTGTGTTGCGAGGCTGTGTTTTCAGATGTCGTTGGTGCATTGAATACACACTGCCTCGTCAAAGTTTTATTGCTTTGTCAACATTCTGCACATTATGTCACAATGTGAAGTTGTTATGGGGTGCATTTATTCTTGAAAGTCTGTGCACAACCTCAATGAGATCTATTTGTATTTGCACAGTGCTGCACATCCTTCAGATCTTGGCTCTCGCGGCTCTACTTGTGTTGCAGTGGGAATATGTTTGGATTCCTGCAGAAATTAAGTGGCCTACATTCTCTTCACCTCTGTTGTACTGTGGCAGGCCCGCAGCTCAGACCATTGTATTAATAAATCCTGAATAAGAATCTCATCTGCAGTAGTTTAGCTCACATTCTGCATTGATTTGTTTTCTAACCTGTACATTCTTGCTATGGAGCTAACAGGTACGGCTTGGTTATGGAAAATATCTTCTTCTTTTGGTTTCAAACATGTCCACTGCAGTACTGATCATTGCAGTAGTTTATATCTGTATCCAGAAACCTTGAACTGCTTTATCACGTCTGTATCTCATGCTACCACTATTATGATAGCTTATCTATTCAGAGATTAGAAATGTGGTGATTTGAACCCCTGTTAGCTTTCCAGTGATAAGAAATGATCCCTCTCGTTTGATACTCTGAATCAGGTGATAGTTTATCTGTTATTTACTGTGAAAGTAACTTTGATATTTCTCTCTCCACAGTTATGGTTGTGAGTTTTGAATCAGAATCATCTTTTTTGGTTTATTTTTATTTTGGTCTTTGGAAATATCTTCCTTTTGATTCTTTTGGATGAGGAAAATGAAAAGAGTAGATATGACAGAACAGACGAGAAGAAAGAGGAGTCGTTTCTCTCTGATCCTCCAGTATTACTGTGTTCAGCTGCTCAGATCTGATTGTTGGCAATATTTTTCTTCTCCAAATGAATCCCCTCCAGTTTTGCTACTTTCAGAAAGTTCTTTCTCAGAAATCACATGTGTCTTGCAGTTTAAATCCACCCATTGTTTTTGAAAATAGATAAACAGTTTCAAAAACAGGGCGTTTCCAGTGGCAGATCTAGGACAAGGGCACCTTAGGGGGCTTTCAGCTTGGACCAGTATCCCTCTGGCCCAACCCCGGATCTGCCCCTGATAACCAGTATAAGCACATTAACGCACACAGACAACCCTCCAGTGTGAATAACTCAAACATATCCTCTTGTATCAGGCCTCCTCCCTCCAACAGTACCGCAGTAGGGTTGGATCCTCTGCCAATCAGTCTCCAACCTCCCCTGTCTCCAATCAAGGCTTCTCACCCGGAGGCTCGCCTCAAGTAAGGGCGTGTGAACCAAAAAGTCGGTGGCTCGCTCTGTATAAGCTTCACTGTAGTAGGAATCTGTTGACCCCCCCCTCCCTCTTACAGCTGCTTTTATTGTGTCGAGTCAACATTCGTAGATCTGGGCAAAAAAACAAAAGTTTATTTCAAGCACTTGAGCCAGATTAATTAAAATGAACACAGGCTATTTTGTTGATGTTTTTACGCTTTTATGGAAATGTTGGTTATAAGAAACTGACATTTTAACATGTCATGGCAGGAAATCTGCAGAGGAAGTCTCCCAGAGTGCACTATTACACCATCATTAATGTTAGTAATTACAGATGTGCTTTTCATGCTCTGACATGCTAAAAGATCAAGTTAAACTTTGTCAGGTCAAAGAAACAACTGACTTTGTTGATGACATGAAAAAGTCTAAAGTGGTTCCTCTTTTGCCCAGATCTGACTGCTGGTCCCTATAAACACTTAGTGTCATTGATGTGTTGTGATGTAGATGTGTCCCTGGACCTCACTCTCTGCTGCTTCTGTGGTATTTGCGTTGCATCTCTTCCCTTTTTCCTCAGTCCTGCTGTTTTTTTTGTATGTTAATCATATGTTTGTGCTTAGTCAGGGTTTGCACCAGCACAAGTGTGAGGATTTGAGTTAGCATGGGAAGGGGAGGGGGGATGAGGCTGGATGGGGGCAAACTGAGCCTTGCTTGCAGGGTGGTGCTTTAAGATAAACTAAACACACCCAAGGTAAACATGGATCAGGGTTGTTAACCTCTGTTAGATTCAGTATAAGCATTTGAGATTTGAAACCCTGGTAAAGCGGTTGTTCTGTTCATCATTCACTGCTCAATGAAACATTGAATTAGACATTAAATGTTTGAAATTAAAGCCCAAAGTTAACCAACGAATCAGGGAGCATTTTATTTTAAGTCTTTGCTTCTTCTGAGTTTTAAGTGTGAATATGTCTGTCTAAAATGCTGAGGCGAGTCACAGCCATGATAAACGCTGTGTGCATTTGTGTTTGTTCTCCCTGCTGTTTTCTCAGTTCCTCCCTGAGCTGAAGTGTCTCACTCGTATAGTCCTGAGATTATCCACACAGGCTTGAACCACTGACAGGCTCATGTGCTCTATTATCCTGCTCTGCCCTGTGGGGACATCTGCAGCACACACAGATAATTTGGTTTGGAACTAGGAGGAGGACGGGTTGGGAATATGATCCAATTACTTATCCATTAAGAGGCCACGATGAAACAGGAGAATTTCTGGTCGCTGTCTCAATGAGGACATTGAAATGAGAAACTTCAAGAGAATTAGAGGGTGCCGCTCGGAGGGGGAGAAGGGAGAATAAAGTCAAGGAGGGATTTTATTTTCACTGATTCACTTTTACATGTGAATTTATTTCAGTTCTGTTCATGTTAATGAAAACACCAAGGACAGAAGGAGGAGGAAGTGGGAGGAGCTGTGACCCTCATAGTCATTATAGTCATCTCTGTCATTTATCAGTACTAAGCGACCTTTTGCATGATAGCATATGACGTGAAGAAGTTGTGATTCAAGTGACTAATCAAGTTCCCTCTTTTATTTGCTTGCATATATTCTCATTTATTCACCTATATATTAATGTATTTATTATACATATATAGCTCCCTTAATGAAATATGAATGCGTTATTTCTTGCAATAGAGGGCGGATGTCTGCTACACATGTATACCACAGAAAATGCTGCAAATATTGCAGGATAAAGTTTAGTTTGCATTCATAATTAAAACAGAGGACTAAAACATTCCTTGGTGCACAGTCACATGTTTGGTGTGTGTGTCTTAAACGTCCTCTGAGACTGAAAATGTTTCTCCTGTAGTGCGTCCTGCTGTGTATATCATCCCCCCCTCTGTCAGTGCACATTAAAGCTGTGTAAATGTTTGAGCTGAGCAGTCTATCTCTTCTGCAATATGTACGCAAATGATGTATCACACACACACACACACACACACACACACACACAACACTGGGCGCTTTCGCATACATACAATCAACTCATTACCTTTCCGGCACTATGAGTTTTTACCTGCAGATCAATAATCTGATTTGATCTGTTTCTTGTTGCAGCATAACTCCATACTAGGCAGCGTGTTCGCGGACTTCTACGACCAGCAGCTCCCGTCCATCCAGGCCAGTGCTCTATCACAACAGGTACAATCACTGTCTGTCATAAGTGTCCATATTTAGTTCTGCAGATTTGAGAGCGATCAACAGCTCTGACACTTCTCTCTGTTTCCCCCAGTTGGAGCAGTTCAACATGATGGAAACCCCCATCAGCTCTGACAGCTTGTATAACCAGACCTCCACCCTCAACTACTCCCAGGCGCTTATGATGGGTTTGACTGGTGGCCACTGCAACCTCCAAGACTCGCAGCAGCTGGGCTACAGTAGCCATGGCAACATCCCCAACATCATTCTCACAGGTGCTGCTTCAACACATCAAGTGCGACACATCCCATGGTTTCTTGACTCTTAATTCAAGTGGCTTGTTAAAGCTCAGAGCAGAGTAAAGCTGTATCATACTTGCTTGTTTGTTTTGTTGTCATCACAGTGTCTCATACACCGAATCAATTATAAACATGAACATTTAAGCTTAACAAAGATGTGATTAATTACTGGGCTGTTAAAGTAAATTAGATTGCACTGGTATACTTAGTAAACAGTATTTAATTTGCTAAAAAAAAATTAAAATAGAGATAAAAATCTGCCTATGAATGCCTTAAACTATTAGCCGTTTATTTTATGCCTTCACTCTGGAGACACCCAGTGGCCGAAGGCCAAAGGCCTGTGATTATGATATATCATATCAAACATTCACTTGGACTCAAGGATGCCCTGATTAGAAAACCCATATTTTTCCTTATGAATGAAATACCTGAAGAACGTCTTGAGAGAATCCTTTCAAATTTGGCACAAATGTTCACTTAGACTCACAGATGAGCTGATTAGATTTGGGTGGTCGCCTGTCTGACATTATGGAAATGTCTTCAGATTTTGACCAGTTGTCATTTCGACTCAAAGATTAACTGATTCGATGCCAGTAGTCAAACATCTTAGTGACCTCATATGAGTTTGGAAAAGAATTAATGCAGACTGAAACTGAAAATGAACTGAAGTGTAATTTCCTGTCTTGTTTCTGTTCAGTGAGTGGAGAGTCTCCCCCTAGCCTCCCCAAGGACCTGACAGGCTCACTGTCCACAGATTTCAGCTTCGATGTCGACTCCCAGTTCCCTCTGGATGATCTCAAGATCGACCCACTGACGCTTGATGGTCTGCACATGCTTAATGACCCAGACATGGTCCTTGCTGACTCGGCCACAGAGGACACGTTTCGCCTTGACCGGCTCTAACCAACCATACGTGTTCATGCACAGGTGTGTGAACGCTGCTGCCCTGTGGGGGGGTGGGTGTATTTTTGGAGTATGTTGGTGAAGGCCGCGTCTAGGCTGAGCAACGATTCCACACCAGGCAACAGCAATCGAACCCCAAAAGAGAGCTTTCAAAAGAAACACTATTGTAAGAAAAATGCACCGACACGTTTTGGGAAGACTGTTGCCGGCCTCCCTCCTCTTTCGGTGTGAATCATGTTTGCGGTCATCAAACTTTGATTTATTTCAGATACCTAGTTTTCACGAGGGCAGTTTCTGGTGTCGTATCTCCATTGATGAGTGACTGAGCCATGTCCGCAGAGCAAACCCTTAACAAACTCATCTGTGCAGAGTAGCGTGATGACTCAGAGGAAGCTCCGGTCAAGAACGACCCCCCCCCCCCCTCTGTGTCGCGCTGGTCGTTCTCAGTCGTACATGCAGTACACGTATTAGTTTTGCGCTGATCCCTGTGTGTGAGGAGCCAAAGTCGAGTCCAGTTTGATTTTAGTGAAGATGTCAAGTCTCGAGTGACCACGAGTCATCATTTTGCCATCTCAGTTATTTTTAGGAAATGCTGAAGTTTGATTTTCAACATGGCAAATTGCAGTAAAATGAGTTATGCATGAGATCACAAATCACTGTGCATACTTGTTTTTGCCTTAATAGCTTAAAACATTTTGGTTTGTCATGCAAACATGACTTTTGTGTAAATAAGAAAAAAGGGTCATTTTTACTGTTTTACAGGTGGTTTGGCCGACAGTGTTTACAGTTGCATTAGTGTAGTTGTACTTTCGAGGTGTGCTGATCTTTATCCATGACTTCATCTATCGTCACTACACCAGCTCATACATCTCACATCAGATCAATGATTCTTTGAGAAACAGATGTTTACAGGCTGGTTTTATTTGACATTTTTACATGTACAGTATGTGATCAGATTTTGCGTAATAGTATCTATGCAAAATTACAGTGGTTGATTTCAGGCTGTAAAACGAAACGGAGAAAACGAATCCTTACGTAGACGAGGCAGGAGTCTTTGAGAGAATGAGCGGCGATGGATGCTGTCATGTTATATTTGTTTTGTGACATTGCTTTTATATTAGGGCTGTGTGGAGAAAAAAAATAACAGATCGGGGCGTGTGGCGTACGGTAGAAACTCTCCTGGATTACTCCCAAAGATGTGACCTCAGTATAGTTGAGATATATATATTTTTCCACACGATTGAGCAGCCTCTGTACTAGAACAGCATTGTTGGTGCAACAAGAATGTATTTCGGTCACATCTGTGCTGTTGTGTTGTTGCCATGTTGTCATCCTCATTGCCTAGCATATGGAGCCTTTACGTCCTGTTGGACCAAAGCTGGTTCACCTGTTCAGAGGAGATGTGGCTTCTGTTTTACGTTCTACATGTGACTGTGTTTGTTTCCTTGGCTCTACGGTGACACTGAATATCAGCTTCTTCATGGTGTTTGTGTCCTTTTGTTGATTTGTGCAGTGTCTCTCCGTTCTTTGGCTCTGCATTGATACGACTTCATGCATCTGCTCCTTTAATGAGTGAATCTTTTTGGGTTCTGTCACATTCATCAATACTGCACTTTATGCATTTATTTAAACACTGATTTATACCCCCCCATGTGACTGTTGTGTGCACTGGACCTGTTGTCCCTTTGATTAAACTTGTCTTCTTGTAAAAAACACATAAAACAAAACAGAAATATTTGAAAGAAAAATGAGAATAAATTATAATTATTTTTGAATAGTCATATATAGATAGTCTATTTCAAAGAGCTGTTTTTACTTAATCTGTGAGTATTTTGTTGGCTGTCTGCTGTTACACAGATTTTTCCTAAATTTTGGAAAACATATTTATTTTGGGACAGTGGTAATCAGAGTTATGAGGTGATGTTTCAGCTCTTTCTGCTTTTAACAGCAGGTTGTGGTAAATGGAACTAAATGAGCTATTTAATAAGCAAATTAAAAGATTGTTATTACAATAATTAAAGATACAGAAATAATCTGATTTCTCAAAATGTAAAGGGCATATTACTGATGCAGTACCAGGACACGATCAATCAATCAGTCGCTGAAAGGTATTTTATAGAATCTATATATAAATATCCATAATATTAGTATAATTCTTATACTATACATCCACATCCCTTCAATAGTCCACATAATGAAAAAGGCTGTTCTATAGCTGCTAATTTGTGTCTGTTTATGTGTCATAGTCCCTCTGTCAGAAGGTTTCACCTTCTCACACACGTGTGAATCAAAACGTGTTCCGTGAAACGTGATCGAATCAGATGAAATTGAATCGTTACCTTGAAGACTTATTATTTTCCTGTTTAAAAAATAATTTTAAGTTTTGGATGCATCATGTTTCTGATTCCTGATGCTGTTGTTTTTTTTAATTGTGATATTTTGAGTTTTGTGACTGCATGACTCACTGGACATGTTACCCCTGATGACTTTGGGATTTATTTCCATGCAAGGGCGCGTTCAGCTTTGTGCGCCTAAGTGTTTTGTTTTCCTTGTGTTGTAAAACTGTCTTTTGTCTCTTTGATTCTGCGTCATGGGTCGGCTACGTTAATGCTGTGTGAAGCCTGAAAGCATCAGATTTTATGGTAATCAGCCTTTTATGCACATGTAGAAGCTGTCGTTTGGTACTATGTTAGGCCTTTGTTTTACTCTGCAATTTATAGTATGTATGCTTATTTTCTGTTTTGCACCCGCAGGGATTTTATTACGTCACGGTATAGACTAGCTTTGTATATTGCTACTATAGGAACAATGTTTTTTCGTGCTTCATGTGATATGATGTCAAAGTGAGAAAATGCACTGAGAAAATACTGTGTTGCAATATATTATTGTGGCTCTATACTCTCTGCTGGACCTCAGACTTTCCAGTGAGCCTGACATCTTTGTAGGTCCATTTTCTGTTTTGATTTTTTTTTCTACTTTTTTGTTGTCATGTAGATGTTACTGTTACTGCCACCTTTTTATGCATCAACGTTCAGGTATCCATTGGTGTTAACGCCAGTGTTTACAGAGAAAAGAGTTTACAACAGAGCAATGTTTGTGTTTCTCCTCATAAAATGTGTCAAATTACTTAATGCTGTATCTACAATAACAGACATGTATGAACCACCACATATTAACTACTACAATAGTGAATAAGTAATTTAATTTCAG